CTCCTAATCATGCTGGGAAGTTTTCAGATAGTCCGTTGTCTGGTTCACCAGAAACGTCTAATGTGCCATCCACCGTGAATCAGCCTGTATGTATCATAACTATTAGATTGACTTCGATTCTTTACATTCTTTAGGATAATAAGACTCAGTATTTCGGTTGTATCACCAACAAATTTAATAATCAAAATCCATACAGAAGTTGAGGAGTAGTTTCCATGTTTATATTGATTGAACTGATTCATGTAATTTTTGAAAATGCTACTCAACTTGTGAATATAGTATAAGCCAGTTGAATATTTCTCTTCGAAAATTTCAGACTCTCAACTCTCAACCATGAAATTGATCAGCTATTTTGAATTAAATGTCAAGACATTTCGAAAATCACATATAATAAGGTTATGTTATGATGACAACAAAAATTATAATGTCTTTTGTTTAAGAGTTCTCTCGAAATAAAAATCGAAGGCAAAGAAGGATTTTCAGGTTTGTCTAGACTTCGGAGATAATGTGGACGTTACTCATAATCTTCAGCTGGGACACACTGTAGAACATATAGACATTCTTTCATCATTGAAAGTCTGGAAAATTCTACTGACTTGCAGCAACTTGATCTTGCATCAATTTTTAAAATTATGTATTCCATAAGGAAATATTTTTCTCAAAAGAGTATTTTTGTTTGAAACAGGTTGACAATATTTCATGACAATATTTCATGGTGAGTAATTTTGCTCTGGTACAAATATTTCAATGAATGGATAACTGATAAATGTTGACAAGTACCCTAATATTCTTATATGTACTGTCATCTACAATTCGTGTCATCTACACATGCCATGTATCTGAAAGTTCATTTAGCAATTGTTTCATCGCCATCCTGCCTTTTATTTTCATCCTAATTTGTGAACATTAAGTGAAAGGACAATATGGGTCAGTGTGTACAGAGAATATCGATCAGATTGAGGCGTCGCGACGACTTGCGTTCAACCACGACGTCACTGTTCGGCGCTGACGTCACTCATTGCAGCGAAAATTCTGCATCTCTTCCACCAATAGGGTTGGTGGAATCTTCTGATGGGGGCGGTGCTCAGATATGACTGTAAATTTTTTAGTTTAATGTACGGGTGTGAAGGAGAGGTGTGTAAGAAATAATTGAAAACATCAGTTAATGTAGCAAAGTTATGTTTGCATATATATTAACTGAAATATTGACTTGAGGAACTGAACGTTATATGAATTTCAACGAATTTCTCGTAGGCTTACAAATTATCTTTTCTTCATCCAAAATAGAAAACCAATCGTTTTCAGATCTATGATAATGCTTCGAAGACAAGGAAATGATAGTAGTAATAATACAAACATCTGAAATATAACTTGCAGATAGAGCTGTACAATATCAGATGATATTCAGATATATATTATTGAAAAAAATTGACTATTGCAATAATCTCCCCTACACGGAATCGAATATCCTTGATCCTAAACCATTATTTTATCTAACCGCAGTTATATTGTGCAATACAAATATAAATATCAATTGTGTACCAACATCATCATAAACTGAACGTTGAATTTAAAATGAATAAAACAATAGATAACAAAATTTTAATTATCTGGAACCAAAAATATTTAATTTCTACCTGATTATACTGAAATGTGAACCAAATCCCAAAGAAATTGAAAGAAAGATCAAATATTATGTCAGACAACTTCACAGAAACACTGTAAAAGCATTAAATGAAACGTTATTGAGGCAACAAAATGAGAGGTATCCATAATCTTATGTTTATTAATGTGATATCTATAGTTTTATTTCTTATTGGTTTGAAGTTTCTATATTTTTATACCACTTGTATTTGTAACTATCGTTACTGCAATTTCATGTTATAAAGACACTTCCAAAATAAACTGTAGGTATTGTATTATTTGTATTCGTTCATAAATGTCCTTATTGAATGAAACTGCAATAACAATAGTTACAAATACAAGTGCTATAAAAACAGGAAGTTTTATTTCATATTCGTCTTAATTGCAACTATTTAGGTTTTTAGATTTTTTATTTTCAAAATGTTAAAAATGTTATGTAGTTTTATTTCGCATTGTGACTTCTTCATTCCTCACACAGGCAGGTTTTCATTATATTTATTTATTGTTATCACTAGTTGTTTGTATGTGAAAATTGATGTTTTCAGAAGCGTCCTCAAGAAATCAATGAAAATACCAAATTATCGAATTTCATTTCTTAAAACCTTTTTTTTTTGAACGGACTTCATAAAAACTGGAGTTTTAATGTATCAGGGACAGCAATAATAAATCAAAAACATGATCATTTCACTACAATTTCTGAGAGCATGTTGCTTGAGAAAATTTTTGAAGGAAATCGTCATGAAAATATAAATATTCATCAGTGTATGTGGACCAACTTGTAAGAAAATGGTTTGCGGTTTGGTTTCTTATTCACATCGAAATATTAAAAACTCATTGTTTCATTGAATAAATGGCAAAAAGGACGTTCACCCCTTATTTTTTTGAATGAACGTAGTTGTATTTATATACGTTTATTATAGGTTTTGAGTTCAATACGGGATATTATAAAACTCTAGAATTGATTACATTCCTTCACGTATAGAAAAAATATTAGTCTAAATCGCTCTTAAATATATCTTCATTTGTTAACGTTCCTTTGGGTAGTTTGAATACCAACATTTGACCTTTTCTCTGACCTAAAACTTGTAACGATTATCATACAATCTTTTGCGCATTTCCCACATCAGTGAAATGCACCAGACAGGTGGAAAATGCAAACTATGTTCCTAACAACTAAAGCAAAATGTCAAGAGTTCAACACATTCTACCCCTAACCTTTACTAATAAGAAATTTAGATAGTTACTCACGTTTGAATTATCACTAGTTCTTAAGTACTAGGCGGGATTATTTTTTTAACTCATCTCAAGACATTAAAAATATTTTCTGAATATTTTATATATTTACATTTCATATGTACCTACCTGCTATTACTTTTGTTTATATCTAAGAAGTATTACTTTTATATTGATGGTTCTCATAAATATAGAATAAATTTTATTTTCTGAACTCTTCTTATAATTTTTTGAGCATTTTCAGGTAATTGATAAAAAAAATTATATCACCATTCAACCAACCGTTGATGATCAGTTACGATTTTTTCAAAAAAAAAAACAGAAAATCCCAGACACTGAAGAAATATTCAATGAAGTCCTACAAGAATTCTAATTCAGTAGACTCATTGATATGTCGAAATAAAAATCATTTCTTTCCTTTCTTGAACAATTAGGTCAAATAAAAATAATTTTAAATAAAACTCATAAGAATAGTCATTATCTATCAAGGTGAACATAGGGTGGAATGGAATAGGACAAGAATGATTACCAATGAGCCTCATTCTAAGAGACGTAAGCTAAAAGAATCAGCGTATATTCTCATGTCTGTAGAGAATTGTATCTCGAATAGCTCCTTAGAAATAGACCGTACTTGGCTACCCATCTTGAAGAAAACTTTGGATAGTAGCGAAATGGCAATAAACTGATATCGGAGAGTACCTTGTATTTCATCAAATGTTTCAGTTGTCAATCAACAACATTGACATAATTNTATATATGAAACTACAGAGAATAGAATAATATACACTTCCGTGATAATAATGCTGGTATTTCACTTTCATCATCTCTCATGTTGCAATTTTTAAGTAAAACATAATGCGTGTGTCACTCAACAGCAGCTCCTTCAGGCGTGAATATTACAAAATTATTTAAAATATATATCATGAATTTTCATCGAGTTGGGACAATTTTATCATAAATATAGCCATTTCTAACATAATTATAAAAAGAATCAATGAAAAAATTATACAGTGTGTCCAAGATAAGGATCCTTGTGAATCATGTTCGCAAACATATTATTAACGTTTTTATTTTATTTTCCTCTAAACTTTCTCGATTAGAAAAATTTTTTCTGGAGTTTCTCAATATCTTCTATGAAACAATATAGAAAATTGGAAAGAAGCGTCAGTTCTATTTTAAAGGGTGGAGTTTCAAGAATTATTTCCAGATATCACGGTTCAACCCCCTACGTGGGGTAGATATTATATTCATAGTCTCAAATGGTCTTTTAAGTGTCTTCTTAATGAAAACTTGATTTATAAATAAATGCGTTCAGAAAGTATCGAAAGTAATTAGAACGTATCTTTAATGAGAGTAACTTTTTTCAAGTAACAATTAAAAAACTGTTGTTTTAAAATTCCTGTTAATAATTATGTCTGAAACGGTTAGAGGGTCAATTTTCCTTTCAANATTGTCAAATTCTCGTTTTTCCCAAATATCTCAGCAGGCCATGAAAATTCTTCAAGTTTCTAAACGGCATGTAAATAAGCTTTAAAGAACACAACTTTTTCCTAATTTAACCTAAGCTGTATCTCAAACAGGTACTGAGATTCCCATGCTTAGGATCCTTATCTTGGACACACTGTATATGTCCGCACGTACGACTTAGTAAAAATAAATTTCTGCTAATTTCAGCTGGAATCATTTTTGAGAAATTTAATTTCTACGACAAATCCAATACATTCAATCAGAGTGAAATATTTTCATATATTTTCCACCTAACATAAAAAACGTTTCCCTTACCTCTCTCATTTTGTTTTGTTGCGGTGGTTGCAGCTCAAGGCATGTAAATCCTGTAACAAAAATTATATATAAACAATCGAAATGCATATTTTTCAGTATCACAAATGTGGGCTTTGCCTGTTATATTAACCATAACGTCTACAATATTTACTGCAACACTAGTGTCGATGTGTTGTTATCTGACCAATGAATCATCTCGGCACAACGTATAGAATCAGTACCATATTACATAATTTGTTCAATCTGCAGATTTTTTCGGGACGCCAATCAATTTCTCTCTGCACGGGCACCATGTTTGATTTTTTCAACCGCGAGTCTCTGTCGCCCACCACCTTAGATGCACGTTAGTTTCTGCAACTAATATTAGTGCAAGGTTGAAGTGCATACGAAAGTGACGTGAAAATAGTTTTCATCTCTATTCAGCGAATCAGCTTCCTATATCTCACTCTGTCAAATGCAACCTTGCCATCATTTGGCAACGAATGAGAGACCCTGACTGCTCGTTGAGTGTTTCAATGTTAGGAACTATTATTAAAACTTTGATAATGACCAGCAGAAAGAAAATTCATTTTCTCCTGGCAAACGCAAGTAGGGCTTCATTCCTGGATTTATCAACATATCAAACGACATCTATTGATACTGTATTATATGAGAAATAAAATAATTTACACGATGTGATAAGAGGTCACGAAACTTCCTCAAAAGTTGTTTAACTGATACAAATTATCTCAAAAAGAAAGTAGTTTTTGTAATTCATTACTGAAATAGTATACTTACTTATTTGTGAAAAATGAATATTGATTTTAGAAATTGAAGAAAGAAGCCGAATTTGTTATATATTTTTGTTCTTCCTTTTCAAAAAAATAAAAGATTATATAGTGTCCTCCCCAAAGTATGCATCATATGGAAAACTTATTTATTAAGGGTTTTTCGACAAAAAGTTATTCTTGATAAAAGTTTGTGCATCTCCTAAGGCATAAAACTAAACATGCACCAACAAATTACAGTAAATCATACGTAATATACGAGGAGCCTTCAAATATTTGTTTTTGAGACAAGAGTAAAGTACTCTTATTTTGAAAAATCTTGGGAAATGTAATTTTAAAAAGTTGTTCAGCATTGAAAAATACATCTAGATTTGAAGTCACGTCCATCTTAGTGAAGTTTTATTTTTAACCATTTTTTTTAATGAGGATTACGAAAAAAAAGTGCTAAAACGATAAATAGACAGCATCCTATATACGACGGTTTATTTTAAAAGCCTTCAATACTACAAATTGCACAACTATGATGTTAACCACGGTCAATTTTTCTGAAGGGTAAAATATTTTTCAAAGTTTTTTGAGTAAAGTTATTTTCATTTTTTATTAACACCGAAAATTATTCAAAATTATACAGTATTGTAACAAAAATTCAATATTCAATAATATCAAATCACAAAACAACAAAATAAAATGGGTATTTTGGAACAAACTGGAGATTTGTTTGAAGGTGATTGACAATGTTTCGTGATGAATTTCACTAGTTTGGACTTTCATTGTCTACTATATAAAATGATTTGAAATCCCTGAAACAAGTAAAAAAGAAGAATAACTTGTTTCAGGGATTTCAAATCATAAAAAAATGCGTAAAAAAATAAAACTTCGCTTAAATGGCCATGACTTCAAATCTACATGTATTTTTTAATGCTGAACAACTATTCTAAATAACATTTCTCAAAATCAAATATTTGAAGGATCCTCGTATATTACGTGTGTTTTACTGTATTTTGTTGGTGCATGTTTAGTTTTAGAGGATGCACAAACTTTTATCAAAAATAACATTTTGTCGAAAAACCCTTAATGAATTATTTTCCTATAAGGTGCATAATTTGGGGATGACACTGTATATAGAATAATCCAAACATTCTGAAAAAACTACAAATTCTTCTCACTTTTGAGAATCTATTCAAAATTTTTTCCTTGTTATAAACAAACATCCTTATAACCAAAAATCAACAAACTACATTCGTTTCATCATCATGAAGAACTGACTAATTTCAGTCTTATTCAAAATGTGTATCTTCATTCAGAAATGAAGTTTTTACATTTCATTCGTACGGTTTTGGCAAATGACTAACCAATTGTGGAATGTATTTAATTTACTGGAATTGCTTTTATCCATTATCGAAACATTCGTAATTTATCTTAAACATCATAGAAGCTGGAATATATAAAAATGAATAATGATAAAGCGACTTTTTGAAATGTTCGAAAATTTTTATTTCAGTTTCAATAAATTACTTCAGTACGACAATATGCAACATCGTAGAACTATTTCTCAATAGACATTATTAGTTGCAAAATGTTTTTACTTTGTACAGAACAACGACCAGAACCGGTTTTGATTTTGAATTTTTCATAAGGTTGATTTTTAGAAAGAGGTGTGGGATAGAGGATTTTTTTCTAAAATAGTCTTCAGCTATGGCAATCATAAATAGATATATGGCAACAGTGCGTTCATATGACACTTAAATTATATTTACTTTTTATATAAAATTTGAGAGTAATATATTTTGTTTTACCATTTGTTATTTGAAATTATGATACACATTTATTTTACCTCTATCGGTAATCCAGGATTCATAAGTAATCAGCCTGTGTCGAAAAGAAAGTAGTTTCATTAACTTTTTATTGAAATAATAAAATTCGAAGGGCCTCATGTTCTCATTTTCGTCTCATACTTCTCGAACTGTTGTTCAACAGGCATAAAAGTTATACTTACTCATTCTCAAACTTTAACAATTTTCAATCATGCAAGCTTTCATATTTTTGCATTACTTCATTTAGATGAATGGGCCTAAATTCGTTGAGATTAAATATTTCTGTAAACAAGATTGATTAGTAGTTTTTGTAAAAATACTCAAAGAAAACTATGGCAGTGGTGTCCACCATAAAACACAGATGATAAAACTGTAAAATATAATGTAGAAAATAATAATCATTCTAGTGCGATTTTAGCCCCTCCATAAGTTATAATTCAATATTACTGTTTTTTATGAGATTGTTATTCACCTGCAGTTATATCATTGAATTTTAGAAAACTCCACTGATGTCAACTATTAGTAACCTTCGATCAGGTTAGGAAGTGTTGAACGTTTATACGATTGATTAATATTATTTCGATATCATGAAAGTACGTCAGCAAACATTTACCACAAAACTGATTTATGTATTCCCTGAATATTATCTTAATAATAACGAGGATATAGTCAATACATGATGTGAGTCTTATCGACAAATACATATTTGGAAACGTGTTGTATTCTTGCATTTTTGGGGCTGTTTACCTCTTGAAGAGAAACCATAGGGTTTATTGCTTTTATATTTCTTTTAAATTGTGGAAGGTAAAACAAAAAAGGTTAACAAAACTCTAATATTATTTCATCTCATATTTAAATATTTTCTAATTTCCATGTTGTTGCCGAATGAAGATATTTCAAAATCTTCAAAGAAATGCAATCATTATTTTTCTAATAGCTCAGATTTCAGATACTATGGAAATATAGAAAATTATAGGCTGGACATTATTATTTAAAAAAATAAATGTGATTTGTTAAAAAAAAGGAAATTTTCATGAGGTATTACAGATTTATTAATTGAATTGTTTCAATACCTTGATGAAGCAAATGGAATAAAACTATTTTATGTGATCTGAAATAGAAGCAAATATTGAATTTTAAGGTATAACAAATAGAAAAAAGTATCGTAGGTAGATGACATGCTCGTTTGGAGAGAAAATCAATCAAACAGATCACTACAGATTTTAAATTTTCTGTGGAAATCAACATAATCTACTGAATACTATTTGTAGGTTATAGGAATCAATGATACTTTGTAAATCGGGAATAAACAATAGTTCACTAATAATAATCTACTTAATAATAATGGCCTATCGACTCTAACCAAGTTTCATATTGTAATTCTGATCCTAACCTAACATCTAAAATTTCAATGGAAAAATCCCAGTACTTCTTCAATCCCGACATAAATAAACATTTATCTAATAATAAATACGTTGTTAGACAGTTGCCCTTGCCTTGAACTTGAATTCACTTTTCTAGAAGCCGCTTCAAATGCGTATTGTCATGCAAAAATGTTGCAACCAAATTGAAGGTTATGCAGTTTTACACATTATTATTGCTATCTAAATGCACACTGTCAACAATATAGGAGGAAAAATATCATCAAAACTCTTGCTTTTAAGGTCAAAGTTCAGGAAACTGACATTGGAAAATTACAAAATATACATAAGCCAGGGGGATTTTTGCATGTACAAAAGGAAATATTTAGTTGAAAGTTACCTTAGTTTTGGGAAAGAAACGTAAAATAGGCTGTTACCAAGGCGTGATGGATCTGCGCTTTTCTCTAGAAACTCGGCCATCCGCCATCTTGAATTTTCACTTTTGATCGCGTCGGGCACTGAAAAATATTCAAATCACTTGCTGCCAACTGGTCTTTGATGAGAAAAACCTCCGGTTTTCACTGAAACTGCACCGAACAAATGCAACTGATCTTATGCATTGCGATTTTCATACTAGTGAAACTGTTCGACAGCTAAAAATAGGCGAATCGATAGGGAATTTCATTATCACAGGAACTTTTCCTAATTTCAAACGTTCTCACCGCTGTTATCGAAAATGCAGTCAGTAATTTTAAAATGCTATATTTTGCAAATTATGATGACGTGCAATTTGACATAGGTCAGCGAAATTATAACAAAGATTGTATAAGGCGCATATCGCCATTGTTATCTAATTAGTTGCAACTACTTTATGATGTTATCGTTTAATTATTCGGACACTTAATGCCATTCGTTGTTGTTGTTTTGTTACCGTATCGTTCTTATAATGAAGTGTGGAAATATACTGGATAACTACTGTTTTATTAATTAATAAAAGGTGCAACAAAAAAACTATTTCAACAAATTCAACGAAGCATTGAAAATATTCAGAATCTGTAACCCATCTATCGGAAATACTGTTTTATTGAACCCTAAACATTGAGAGTATTCAATCAAGAAAAACTTTCCTACAACCAGTGATATTATGTTAATAAATTGAGAGTCCAAATCGAATGTTCAAATATACATCGTAGTTAACAAAGAGGTATGTGATAAAGTTGATTTTAATTTGCATTGTGGAGATTTGTTTCTAAAAGTATGGTACCATATTCATAAATTAGTGTAGTTTCAGTTTTCTTACTAACTTTCATGAAATTGAGGTATCAATAACAATAAATATGATTTTATCTGTTCTGAGCTGAGATAAGAGTGATATGACATTATTCATGTAAACTAACAAAGCCAATTTCTTCTGTTTGAATCTGTATTATCACTCATTTAACCTTCAATGTTACTTTCAGTGATATTTCAGTGACATGATACTCTATTGAGCCAGGATTCCATAAACTTCCAAATTTCGGTTCTGTTCTGACTTTAGTAACTTTCGCCAAAAATAGATGTTAACCTTTTGGGTTATTGAGCGTTTAGGTCTGGCAGACCTGCACGAGTACTAGTGTTTTGTTTTTTGATTTATAATTTTTTTATTACTAATCCGATTTCTATAGAATATAAAGGCAATATTTTGAATTTGTCAATAGAAAGGGAAATAAATGTCGAGCATTCATATTACATAAAATACATTGCATTGGCTAATGGTAATTTTATTTCTTGGAAGCGTCCACCGCAAAAAAGAAAGATACTGTTGAACTTGCTTCCATGCTTACTGAAGAAACGTCGAAACACAACCAACAAATTGATACGAGAGTTTCGAAAAAGGCGGAAGGTTGTAAACGTAAATACAATAACTTGTAGATATACCTCACGACATAACTGAAGTTGAAAAACGATTATTTTTGACATGAACAGTTAATCCTAAAACTATTGTGAAAATGTGCAAAATTCATAGGTATGCCCGACACTTGCTAAAAGGCTGTATCACGATTTTTCGGATTGTAATCTATGATGTTACATCAAATTTGTTAAAAATGTATTTATCATTTGTCTTATTTAGTTCATCAGGTATAAGGAACAATATCGAAACAATTCAAGTGTGATTATTTTAATTTTTCCTCTGAATTAGTTTCAGAAACTGAAAGAAAATAATGAATATGACAATGTATTTTTTCAAATTTTTGTCTTCTAATTTCGTAAAATGATGTTGAGTGAATCAATAATCCTTGATTCATTCTAGCATTTACAATTTTTATTCTTTATATATCTGGCAGAAATTAAAATGTTATTTAACAGCATAGAAATTTTTTACTATCCTCGGAAATATCTAATGGTCATTTTCCTAAAGTGAGTCCAGTGAAAAGCAGATGAATCACTGAATAATTTTCAAGCCAATTTTCATTTGATTTTTGTTCATTATTATGTTTTTTCATTTCAAAGTCATAATTTCCATGAGGTTCATCTAGCAAGCTTAGTGTTGGATTTGCAAATTGAAAATTTGAGTTGTGTTAAAAATCATATCTACAAGTTCACGGATTGAAACGTTGAAAGAAAGGCGTAGGTATCTAATTGAAAATGGAAATCAAGCTAGGACAATAAGTGATAGTGAAGAAGTTGAGGGGATCGCGTTTTATTCAAATAAGTTTATCTAATGAATGCATTTCCTTTTGAATGAAGTTACTGAAAGAATTCAGGACTATTATTAAAGTACTATTCATAGAAACAGGGATTCCAGGACTTTTTGATTCACAAACTGACTGTAAAATTTATATAAATAACTCAAAATACACATTAAATCAACGACAGTGAATAATTTCACTAATATATCATATACCGTAAGTAACTTATTGGATTTTCGAAATTCATGTTCAAATCCTTGAAATTTGAAAGGATGTAAAAAATATGAAACATCGTTTCATTATAGTCATTAATTGATTTACGAAAGTCAAAAATGGGATAGACGTAAATGGATGAATAATCAGTGAAATAGAGATGATTGGCGTTTAGTTTTTCAGCTCTGCGTTAGTCATCCACAAAAGAAGGAAAAATAGTAATTTAGTTTTTTCAGTTTACATTTTGAATAAATAACTTGAGGAAAAAATAAAATTGAAAAACCCCATGTAACCTAATGTTTTTCGAATTCAATTTTAAATAAAGCAAAAACTGTTCTTAAAAATTTTTAAAATATGTAAACCCATATTAGGATATTAGGGTAAATATTTAGGGAAATTAAAAAATCATTCGGCATATATATCTTCGACAATCTACATTCAAGTCAAGTATTACTTGACCTATAATTTCAGTGCGATTTCAATTCAAAATAAAGTTAATCTATCAGTTTATTGAAAATAAATTGTTGCAAATTGTTTTGATATAACTACATAATGAAAACATAGGCACTATACAGAATATGCCTTTTCACTGCTGCGGAAAATTATTTCACAAAATCTTGTACTCTCGGTTATATCGCTTTCAGTCCTTCAATTTTTTCAGGGAAAATGTTTCAGTAACGATTTTTCCAATGAATTGTATGGATTGTCAGCCGTAAATGTCGAGAATTTGAGAATATATTTTGAAATATTTTCTGGAAAATGTTACTTTCGACAAAAAAATAGGTTGCTGTCCAAATAAAAGTTCGTTGAAGTCTCCACATTCGATAAAGCTATTTTTGAAATACGCGGTATTTCAGGATCACCGTCGAAATCGTATTCTTCCAAAAATATGTTATTTTTTGAGTCTTATAAGGTATGAAAGAAATGAATGAGTAAAATCTGCCACTGAACGGTCTCAGTGAGTGATGATCCATCAATTATCACACGAAAGAAAAACCAATTTAATCATATTTTCAAGAATGATTGTGTAAAAACTATAAAAATCCAGATAGTGAATTTTTTCTGGGTTAAACAATTTCATTAACTGAACAACGTTTTGCAAAAAGTGTTGTCAATTTTTCCCAGTTGTTCCCACTCGTTATGTTATATTTTATGGTTATAATTAATTCACGAATACAAACTGGAAAATTTGAAAAATATTTGAAAAAACATATTGTTTCAACAGATTTCTTGTCATTTTATTTGAAAAAACTATTTAGTAATGAATTATTAGCTTTCATCGGGGAAGATTGCCACCTGGTCACTAATTTCGAAAACAAAGTAGCTATTGACATATGAAGAACAGAATTGAAACACCATATGCTTTTATACCACTCGTATTTGTAACTAATGTTACTGCAGTTTCGTCCTCCAAGTTTATTGTATTCATTTAAAAATGTCCTTGTAGGACGAAACTGCAGTAATGTTCGTTACAAATTACAAAATCGAGGAACTCAGTCCAATATTTCACAAGTTGTCCAAGATTACAAACAAGTGCGCCAGCAGTGCATACTACAGGTTTCTCAAAAATTACTTCTTGTGAAATATTCCATGTGTCTATCACATTTTGAAATGCTTTTTTTCAGATAGACATTGAATTTAATTATCCCACCAGTGTAATCTCAGAACTTTCATCAATTTTTTTCCATCACTCAAACTTTGTAAGTAAAGACATCAAACGATATTGAATGGTAAATTTTTCGAACTATCTTTACTCATAACTTTTTTGATGATTAAGTTATTTCAACATAATTTTGACATAAACCATTTCAAAATTATGTGAATTGTATGATGTAGTTAATGAGAAATAACAAAAGTTTTCCCTGAAATCTGAATTGAAATTCATGAAATTTGTTTTTGTTGAAGACTTCTTGAATGTCTGTCTAATGAAAATAATAATCCAATTTCTTGAAAAATTTATGTTTCATAAAATTGTTTTCATTTCAAATGGGCCATGTTGTATGAGACTTGATATGAAGTAGACTACTTTTACGATTTTTTCAACCAAAATGAACAAGGGACGAGAACACCATTCGAAAATTTTCATACTTCTTGAAACTTCATGACTGGACTTCCATGGTTAGGTTTTTGAATTATAAAAAAAATATACCTGCTATTTAAAAAAAGGAGGACTACATCATTGGCATAATGAGGCTTATCAAGTCATGTAAAATTTCAACGAATGTTTCAATGAAATGAAAAAATGAAATCTGACTCCTACGTTAAAATTTATGAAATTTCAAATAGTCACAGCATTTTGGTAACCGCCCTTTTTTGGCCCTCAGTGTAAGTGTTTCAATTATCAAATCAGATATGATATATGTAATTTTTTAGATGGAAAGACACACATTGTACTTTATAATATCACTGAATAATTTATGAAACACGTGTTACTTTACACTAAATGGGACTTTCGCAACTTGTTCGCACCAGAAAAAATCGGAACAAAACCCTTTTACCCCTCCAACGCATTTTACACACCTTCAGAAAATAAAGAAAATCTTGTTTTGGCAGAACTAGAGCGCGGAAATGCAGTAGGCCGCGACCGACTCTCGACGACCGTCCCGACGCCCGACCTAGCACAACACACTCTGTGGTGGGCTCGTGCAATAGTGCATCTACTGCGTTCTGACTGTGTTGACGAAGGCGCTGCCTTGGTTCTCACACATATATCTGTAAATGCGCAGTTTTGTGTACTGGGTGTTTGAGTGCACACGGATCTTCCTAATTGTTTTCGAAATAAATTCTTATACAGTTGTAGTTACAGTAAAGGAGACAATGACAAAAAATTTGAAATCAAATAAATGTGTAGAGGACAGTCCCATTTCG